ATTAATATATATATATATATTTGTTAAAGTATTATGATTATCAATCATTACATAGGTAGTTAAAATAACATTAGAACATGTTAATATCTGTAACTAAGTGTAATTTTATAACCTAGACAAGACGTTTGTAAGCAGCAATAATGGTATGCTGTGCATTTGCATCGTGCGCAGAATTATTTTTGAATATCGTATATTATATATCATTATTTATTTATATTATTTTTATCATATTGTTATACATGAACATCGGTTTTGAGTACATACTACGTTACATCTTACTATATCAATTAGTTTATAATTAATTATTTGGAATAGCATGACTGATTTACGACAATGACTATTGTAAAAAAAGTCATTATTACGTAAAACAAACTTTAATGATCTAAAAATGTTTTTAATAATACTTATGCATGCAATTATGATGATTTTAAAACTAAAAATATACGCTTAAAAACAAATTTATTCACTTACCAATTTTTTTTTATTATTATTGGCTCTGTATATTTTGACATTTTGACACCTAAAATTATAAATAATTAAATTATATATATGAAACGTTAAAGTTATTTATTTCGAAATATTATTATATGTGTACAACTGCTTATAACAAATACGTAAGTAGTAAACTAATTGCGAACCTTAAAAAAAAACGAACCTTATAATAACATTAGTCGTTAATGGTTATAAGTTCAAAACTTTTTTGTTTAACATATTATTTCTAACCTACATATTATATAACAATAAATTAAAAAATTGTATTAATCGTCGGATAAATTAAGCTAGCGAGCCTAGAACATATGAAAATAACCTATATAATATGTGCACCAAAGCTATGAAAAATCAATATATTTTTATAATTTATATTTATAAAAGATATATAATGAGGGATCTTCTGAACAAGTCTATGCGAGAGTCAAATCAAGATATCTTTTAACACGCACTGAAACTTTTGATACCTATTGCGTTTGTGAAGTTTTCAAATAAATTTATTACATGCTATTTGAAATAATATTGATCCAATAACCCGAAAAATTCAACACAGTTCGATCCCTATGTAATGTATGGTTACTACTTACTATTATGTATAGAAACTACAATTAAATACATTTGTATATTGTTCACATTGAGTATGATATGCATGTTAAGACCGGTCATGTGGGCATTTCAAATCAAACTGATTTAATAAACCAAATATTATTTTGCATATAAGTGCATATCTAAAGGGTTGTGAGTTTTTAACGCGCATATATAACAGCGCACGCATCTCGAACGTATTTGCGCATATTTGGTACATATTTTGTCATTTTTATTCTGCTCGTTCACGTCATAATAATATATTTAGCGCCTTTTTAGCGCATAATATAATTCCGGTCTCCACACATTAAAACACATCGTCATGTGACAATACAATGGGCGCTGCAATATTAAAATAGGTACGCGACGTTTGTTAACGGCGGCGCGTGAAGTCGGTCAAACGCAACCCGCGTTGAGTGCCTACGTATATATTGTATTATGTATTTAGGCACCTCCATAGCATTTACTTATTATTACGAAAATACTTTGCGCGTCAGAAATCCGTTATTATAACGATATATATACACAATAATTTCGTACACTACGCCGTATGACGCGTCCGTCTGGTTAAAATAATAATAATATAATACGTCCCCTCTGCGCGTTGTTCACCGGTCAACACCGCGGGCCCCATTGTGCGTATGTGTGCGTGCGGGCGCGGCGCCTGTGTGTGTGTGTGAATGCGAAAAATCAATACCGCCCCCGCGCCGCACCTTTGAGCCGCGACGAGATGACCGTTCGGCGGAGGCTGCGTATATATATATATACATATAGGTACCTATATGCACTCACATAGACACACATATACATACACGCACGATACGCCGGTATACATTATATTAATATTATAGGTACGCGTATATATTATTATTATGTGTATAACGTCAACATCTGTTGAAATGACCCAGTTGTCGTCATATATATGTATACACACACGCTGCATAAATATCAGCGTGTCCCGTATCCGGAGGTTCGCGGGGGTGGAGGCGCGAATAGCAATAAAAACGACGGAAAAAATAAAACCATTCCGTACATGTATATATAACGACCATCATCTATACTATTATTATATATATTATATTATGCGCTGCAGAGGTGTGCGCGTGAATAATATACATTATATTATTATTATTGTAGTCCGTCGCAGCGAAATGACCGTTGCATTGTTGTATAGTACCCGAGATAGTGCGCTACGACGAGTGTGCAATTAGAATATGACGATGGGTCGGTCGTATATAGGTCTGCATCATACATAATATATTATATTATACGTTATATGTACGGCGGCGAAGACCCTCGGCCGTAAAACACAAAAGGCACTGATGAAGGGCTCGTGATAATATTATTATTATTATAATATGACGTTATGTATGTATACGGCGTGGGCGAAACAAATTTCCCGCGCGTGTATCTGTGTATCGTCACTATCGCTGCACGTTAGCGGAGAAACGCCGCCACCGAGCCGGAGGGATAGTGACGTGCTGTGTTTGAAAAGGCGATTTGCCGGTCTCGTCGCTCGCCCCGATAATGCGCGAGTATAACCGGTATAGGTGTAGTATGCCTAGACATCTATACAAGCTCGTATGCATTTTTGTACTTTGCGCAGAGTGCATATTATATGAACGAAAATGACCGGCGCTCGGACCAGAAATATTACGATTACGAATATTGTTGTCGAGACGGAGAGCAAATCGGATCTCTGGCGAAAAAATAACAATACGATGGTAAATAGAGTTTCGTCTAGTATCGTATTGTAGTGCTGTGTTGACAGAATTCCGCTAGAAAGCATAATATTTTTATATAGTGTCGGCCTTTATTATGATGCTCTCTGATTACAAAAACCATCTATCGCAATAAAAATTAATAAACAACGATATTCGGGTCGTTATTTTATTGTACGATTAACGTGTTGGGTTCTCCCCTCTCCCTTTCCAAAAAAAAAAAGAAAACACCGGGACATACCACTGTAGAGTTTGTCCGACTTGGTCCATTGTAGTTTGATGCTGGTCTCGGTTTGATACGTGATGTATATATTGTATAAATAAATAATATTCTAATAATTATCTGTGCCTGTGTTCAAATTATATTATTCAAATGGAATTGTAGAGCGTACGGATTAGCAAAGAAATTTTTATTTCGGTGTTAACCGCGATAATGGTGGTTGTTTTCATTACCAAATACGACCGATTGCCTACTTGTCTCGTATATTTTATAAGACACTGCAAGTCTGCTTTACTCGTATACACATTTACTCCGTGTCATTGCTGCACCGATAGATGTACATGACTATAATAAAACTATCATATACTGTATATACGTATATACTGTAACATACGTGGACTTGACCGGTTATATATTATTAGCGCTGTAGAACTACTTTTGCACTACCGCGGGGACTTTGAAAAAAGGGATTTTATCGTTGTTTTTATATAATAGTATAATATAGTTTTTTAAAGCGACACATTCACGAATCCGTTGGATTAGTTGTCGATAGTTTTTATGGTTCTGCAATTTTATAGGTAAGGACATATTATTATAATTAAACGTTAAAATTAATATCGCAACATTTTACATCAATATAAATTATGCATACAATACAAAGGTATAATATGTATACTAAAGTAAACTATCCATGTATTACGATATCTTAGATGAATAAAAATTGATACGTTTACTATACCTAATATTTACATGCCATATTATATAATATTTTACTCCATTAAATACATTTATACAAATACTAAACTATATAGGTACGAAGATTTTAATTTAGTTAGTATTTTTTAGCATTATTTAGCATTGCCTATTTTCGATTATTGACTGCTATAAATACATAAAAGCTGGATTTACCTATGAATGATATTTATTGGCATGTTTATTGTATTGTAACGTTAATATTTTTATGATAATGTACTTTTTTTTAAACATTGTGTATATAATAATTAACTATATACTCGTATATTTCAGACATTGGAAACAAATTTCGTATTATATTGCTATATAAACGTATAAAGTTGTGCTAATTACTGATACATAAAGGATAATTGTATAAGTACTTAAATCAAATTATACCTATAAATGATATATTGTGCGATTTGATATATATCTACAGTAGAGTCAAACCTATACTTTTATAGAGGCGTATAGTCGTTGTTAAATAGTTTACAACATACCACGGACGAAAAGGGCATTTATCAGAGTAGAATTTAAAATAGGCGATATAAAACTTTAAACGGATGTTCAACATCTCTCTCTCTCTCTCTCTCTCTCTCGATGCTCGAAAAACGTAGTTATAGTAAAAAAATATAATAATAAAAAGGAATAATATTTGTACGCGAAATACCTGCTGCACCAACGCGCACGTATAATAAATATATTGTATTATATTATTATATTATGTATAAAAAAAAATGCCGAGCGTACAAATATAAGAAAACCTAAAAAAGCCGCGCGGCCAAACGGAAGTCCGATTTAAAGAACTAGGCGTGTCCTTTCGGGGACCGGAGATGCGAGAAAAAAATCCGTACCCGCGAAAAGTTACAAGAGCTGCCGGGTGGACTTTTGACGGTGAGAGGAGACCTGGGGGGGGGGGTCTAAAGTTTTGCAAATCCGTACGCGCCACGTCCGACGGGGACGGAGAGGAAAATCGTCGTCGCCTCTGACGAAAATGCCCGCGAACAGCGCTCGACGCGCGCGCCCGCCGTACACACCGGCGCGCACACGCACGCGGGGCGTGTTCCGATTGGTCCCGCCGCCCGTCATGCCCCTCGGACGGCCCCACCGGACCTGTGTGCGTAAACGCTTCCACCCGTGCCGGTCCGGCGTGGTGGTGGTGGCGGATGCGGCGGCGGTGGCGGCGGTGGCCGACGGCGGCGGCGGCGACGCCGACGACTGAATGAGACTACACCGCGCGCCGCCTTCATATAGTCATACGCACCGGTCAAACGTACACGGTCGTCCCGCGTGCGGTTGTCGTTCGTTTTTTTTTTGGGTTTTTTCCGTTTTTTATTTTACGTTTTTTAAAAATTTTTCCTCGTTACCGATATAGTGGAAACCCCAAAAAAAAAAAAAAAAATTTTAATAAATCGTCGTCGTCGCCGCGAGACACAGTGCCCATGTCGAGATACACGACATCGTAATAATATCGAATTATTATTGAGAGTCGTCGTCGTCGTCATACCCGTACGTCACACACGCGTATTGTTGTATTTATTTTAATATTATATAATTACAATATAAATAACATACGCGCGCCGTGGATAATATTATTATTAATTTTTACGATTGTCGTGTACGCGCGATTGTGCCGTCGTCGAGACACTACGTTTGCCGCGCGAGCATTTGTCGCGCGCGCGCGTTCGCCCGTGTTACCGTCCGTCCGTTAAGCTGGAGGGCTTACCCGCGGTGGCCGGCGGAGAGGGGCTAAGGCTGGCCGCGGCCACCGGCGCCCAGTACCGCCGGGTCGACGACGACTCGAAGCTCGCGCACAAGTTCCACCCGGCCGGGTTCGAGTTCTACCGTAACCTGCACAAGTTCCACAACCTGAACAACAACAACAACCACAGCAGCAAGAACAACAACAACAACGACTCGCCGCCCTCGGACAAAGCGGCCGTCGCGGCGGCCGCAGCCGCGGCCATGATCCTGCAACAGCACCACCGCATCGGCGGTCTGCTGGCCGGCCGGCGGCCGTCGTCTTGCGACGCCTCCGTCGCCGCCGCCGCGGCCACCGACCAACAGCCGCTCGACCTCAGCTCGCTGTCCGTGCCCAAGTACAACAACGGCGGCCGGGCGCACCCGTACTTTGCGCACCATCACCACAACAACCATCATCACGGCCGGGTGGCGGCCGGCCACCAGCAGTCGTCCGCCAAGTCGGCGGTGTCGTCGCCGCCACCGCCGCCGGCCCTGATGCGCGCCGTCCACGCGGCCGTCGGTTCGTCGTCCGACGACGACGACGAGGACGACGACGACGAAGACGAAGACGACGAACGCGGCAGCATTGGCGGCAGGAGGAGTCGCGGCGATCAGTCGTCGCCGCTACCGCCGCCCACGCCCAACGAAAACGGTAAGCCGATTTTTATGTGTCCTGCATTATCCTTTGCCGCCGCGATCATCACACACTGACGGCAATGTTGACCTTGTTGGTTTCACCCCGACGTATCACACTTATTCAAATTTTCTCGACCTTTGTCTCGCGCCCCTCGTCCCGCGGCGGCACCTGTTATTGTACCTAAGTATTTCTCTCGATTGCGAGACATCGGCAAGTCTGCCTTTTATCGCAGCCCATCGGTTATATTCGGAACGATCGAACACAATAGTATTATTACGTCTGGTACGATATTTAGAACAAGGGCATCGGTGTTATAATTAGCGATCGTAATATTATGTTAACGACTAACGACATGTCGATTAGTCATGGTTATCGAAAATCCTACACTCGCTGCAGGTCTCTCTCCCGAGAGAGTTATTTCCGGTGAAAGAATATCATGTTTTCCCGAATCCGTCGATCGCGTTTGCGTCACGGCTGCAATATTTTAATGATCAGAGTACAATATACTAATAATTATAAACTGTGGCGTGAGATAATATACACATGCTCGTACGATTGAATGAGATGTGACGAGACTGTTGGCTATTAATAATATTGTCGACGAGTGTATTGTACTTGTACGGTTTTTAATTAAACACTCGCTACACGATGGTGTATTTTCCTACCGTATGCGCGCACCTGCAAAGACTTGTCGTTTCAGGATTATTATTATTAGAAATCGTTTTGGAATCTTAATAATATGTGCCTGTATTGTGGAATCGGTCGATATTCCATTTTATGATTCCTACAACCTATTTATCTCTGACTCGATATTATGCGATGATTATTAATATTGTATAATGTATAACTTGTTAAACGAATTAATTTTGGAATTAGATTGCACGGGAATTTGGAGTATACTTATGTTTCGTTGATTAATGCGATAAAGAAAGCGCAAACTGTTTGATCCTCATAGAAATAAAATTAAATAGGTACTTAAGATTAAAAAAAAAAAATCATTTCGCGGAAATTCTATTTTTAAAGGATACGGGTTTGAATGTAACCATTGTCAGATCGTTTACATTTCCCAAATTCAAGTTATAAAATTAGAATAATACACCTAAACAGAGATCGATAGATTATTCGAGACGGCACGTGTACATAAACCGTGAAATTACGATTAAAATTTAAAATATTGATATGATATTAGAAAATTAATTTCTTCATGACTTTAAATTATAACTAATAGTGTTATTTTTAAAACTTCTTATAAGATCAGAAACATCTTCTTGTACAATAATAAATTAATGATAATTAAATGTTATTATTTACGAGTATAAATAACATTTTTCAAAAGAAATGTTTTGTAATGCATTTTTTTTTGTCAAATTTACTTCTGTGTGTATTTAATTTTCGAAAATATTTTTAAAATTTTTTTAACTTGAAACTGAAATAATCAGTATTTTTTTTATTTATTTATATGTATCAAATAAACTTATTGATAAAAAAATCTTGACATAATTTTTTTTTTCATATTAAGTAATAATTATTATAATAGCGTCTAACAAATTGATGATTTGTTAACTTTATAATATTATTATTAAATTTTAAATAGTATATATTTTATTTTTTAAATTAGCTAAATCTAAATATAAAGTAACTTAAATAATTCAAACATAATTTATGAAGCATAACGATAATAATATAAAGCTGTAAAGATTTTATATAAATATATTTTTAATATCTTCACGAAAAAAAATAAAAATCTGTCTTTTTTCTATACCTATTGATATAATTAGTTTAATCATTATGATTTATAATCTATACAATAATCAAAGTCTTCACTACTTTATTTTAAACAGTTTTGCTTATGATAAAACATTTCTTTGGTTTAATTTTATTATTAATCAAATTTTAACCCAGGCAGTTAGAAATCTCATTAATTACAATGTTTTTTTTTTTGTTACACCATAATGTTTATTTGCGTTTTATGTATGTATGAGTTATTACTCTACAGTTCACCTGTTTTTATTTTATCATTATAAATTCTTATGTAGTTACACACAGGATAATAAGTAATTGTATGCATTTTTATCTCGTGTGCAGATTGTGTGAATTACAAACATCCATCATATAATGCACATATCGTATTCAAATCCATAAAATGTATACTTATTATCATAGAAACGGATAGTTGTACTACAATAAAAAAAAAAAAAAAAATGTTTATATTTTGCTCATGTTCTTTAATGCGATTCTTGGTAAAAATTAAGAATTATTATTTAATTGCGAAACAAACAAAACTCACACGTGTGCAATATCTTAGTTCGTTTATCACAATGCTTTAGTTTCGTTCCGTTTCTTTATTTTCGTTTCATCGGGTAACGTCTTCTATAACCGTCAAAACATTGCAACATATACATTCATTTTATATGGTTATATCCCTTATAATAAGTTTATAAGAACTCAGTTATTATACTCTAATTAAAATAGTTAGGAATTCTGTCGATGACATAATTGTGTAACATATTCATGTATATAAACTATGCGGATGTGTGAAGTATTTAAAAAAATGTTATCAGAGAGGAATGTTTGCTAATCGGCAAACGAAATTGATACAAGTTAACCACTGTTGATCGTTAACACTATATCAAATTAAAAAACTTTCCAATAGTTTTTCCGGGATTTACCTCGTAATAAAAATAACACTTTGACATTATTTCAAACTACGGTTCACGGCGCGCGACGGTGTTATACCATAAAAACGAAATTTAAGTGTAATAAATCCAATTTTTTTTATACATTATGTATTGAAATTCTTAAAACTGATGGTTAGACTCTGTACTACAAAAAATTAAGTGAATATGCCTGTTGTGAATTTATGATGTGTCAAACAGCAAGAACATCGTTTCTGTACCAATAATGTGTGTTACGCGATTTATGTTTTGTACCATGTACCGTATAAACCTATGTTCGTGTAGGATCCTATAAAATACCAAACATATACGTTCATAAAGCTTGCCCTTTTGCCTGATAATGAATTTTATATATATATATATAGAAATGATTTTCATAAGAAACCTGGACAAATTGAACAGAATAAATATAATATTTTACAGAATAAGAAAATTACATTTTTTTAAAACTATTGTTTACCTTCTTCTTCAATCGTAAATCGTGATGTATCTAATTTGTATATTAAAATTAACTACAAATTATAATTTTGAGCCGTAGGCTAATTAAAAAAGTACAACGTTTGAAATATTAATTTAAAATTTAAAAAAAAAAAATGTTCATTTACCAAACGATTTATGGCACATGATTCTATGTAAAAGTCTTATGAAATTGGGTTGAATAATAATTTTTTATGTGTGTTTAATGTTTGTATTTTCAAAAATGCAAATTGATAAATGTTTAAATTATAGTCTTTAAATCGTTATTCTTGAAGTTACAATTAAATAATGAAAATAAATATCTTTATGTACTAAATTTACTGTTGTGTCCAATTTTTAATAAGTATCAAGCTGAGGAAATGTTAGGTTTGAAGAGAGGTGAATAAAATAAATCTTTTAGACTAGTATATGTATATCTACCCGAAAACGAGTTCATAGAATGTAAAAAAGAAAACACATCATCGTAAAACCAATCGGATACTTAAATGATAATTTAATTAATTTTAATAAATAAGTAAATTTTATATAGACACGTGGTGGTGCTCTTCTTTATTTTATTTTTGTGGGGAGGGCCTCGATTCTGAATACGTTAATTGAGGGGCTAAGCCCTGGTTCTGAATATATTAATTGGGGGCTAAGTTCCGGTGAGCCACCCAATTACTACGTACGGTATTGTCATAAGTTTTTATTGTAAAATCATCAAAAAATTATTATAACAAAATACTATACAACAACCCGCGGTAGACGCGAAGAAGCCATTTGACTGTAATCCTATTACGCTGTATTTACCAATAAAGTGTCCCTGTCCTGCACGAGCTCGTATCGTTGATATATCGCACGCGTCCTTTCCGTGTAGGTAAACCCTTTTTTTTGTTGGAATAGGTACCCATACAATTATACCGTGATCGGAAAGCGAAAAAAAAGAAAAGAGGTAGGTAACACAAGTCGTTATCCGGAAGGGTCGCGCCTCCCGGTTTTTTCCCGTTTTGTTTTCCGACGGCTCGCGTACGCGTAACCCCATCCGGCATCCACCCCCCATCATCATCATCATCGTCGCCGTCGTCGGTTAGGTCTGCGGGTCCGAATCCCGTGCGGATTGAACGGCGTAACGGGTTGGGCACGAGGGCTACTTTGTTCGGGAGGGCACACTTCCTCATCCCCCGCCCGCCCATCTGTGTAGTACCCATTATTATTGTTACCATACGTATCGCTCGCGCGCGCCGTTATAATATTTACACGGTGACTCTCGGGCCGGCGGTCGTGCCCGTGCGCCGCTGCTGCGTCCCCCGGACAGATGTTTGTAATAATGGTATAATATAATAAATACGCACGGCCGACGTGTGTCTACCTCGGCGCGCGAGACTCATGAATTCCCCCGCTCGAGCCAAAACCATATATAACAATACAATATCCAACTAAAAAACAATAACGATTAAAAAATAAAACAGCGCGCGCGCGTTTCCGCATTTTTCCATAGACGACTTTGACGGGCGATTCGCGTCCCCGTCACACATGCGCGAACGCAGTCAAGCAGTGGACCTAAAATACGTACACATTGACGATGGGCGTTGAATTTCATCAATTCGCGGTTTTTACCGTGTTCGAGGGTTAACGCAAAACGATTTGGAGTATTTGATATCGCTATAATATTATGGTATTGCCGGCGGCGGTTGTCACCTTCACGAGGTCGAATCCGATGTTTTTCCAGATTCAGAAACCGCGCGTAACCGCTCCAGAAGCATACGTTATACGTTATTTTATTATGTACCTACACGCGTACGATGTCTCGCTTCATGGTACCGTTTGGTATCAACCGTGTTTCCGTACGCCACGCCCATCGTGATTATCGCGATTTTCCCGTGA